TATTGTTTTGTCGGGTCAACAACACCGCAGCTTCGGAAAACTCAAAAACTTTATCGTTGGGCCCACTACACGGAAGCTGGGTCTGAAAGGGCCCGTCGCCAGCCGGCACGTCACGGAGGAAGGCGTGCTCGACAGTGCGGTTGCAAATTTTGATCCGACCAGCACTCCAGTCCATCAGTCCCACCTTCCGGTCCCCACAGACACCGCTCTGCCATTGATCACTCGTAACCACTTTAACTTTCCTGTCCTTATCCACCTTGCAATCCATCACAGGTCATCACGAGCTACCCTCCGATTCATCCACACCGAACATGGCCGACTATTTTTCACCTTCGAAACGGTAGCAATCTTACCTTTGGCTGCAAATGACACCTGTGTAGAGATGACCGGTGCAGATGGATCCTCGCTGCGTCGCAGGTCCAAACATTGGAAACCATGAAGCTAAATTCGGCGGTGACATATTAGTTTTTGTATTATACGTTATCCTGGCGTTGGGGTCTAGCGCCACCGTTGTTTTAAACTTTTCTTTTCCAGCCACTTCACAACACAAGCCATGAAGCATCCACGAGAATGGCAAAGCATCCAGACCGTCGGGGTTTAAATACCTCACCGGTCACCTGGTTTGCACTCCTTTCAGTTTTTTCCCTCTTTATCTCTGTTCTTGAGTATAGTACTTCTCTTGCTCTTTCCTTGCCAAAAAAGGTCACCTTGTCTCCATCTTGTTATACCTAGCTAATGACCATGGACACCCAGTCAAGTACACGAGCAGTAGGCCTTGAGTCCCTTCCTACCGAGCTCTTTGAGCACTTGACCGACTATCTCCGCATCCAAGACGCGAAGAACCTCCACTTGACGTCAAAGATAGTTTCTACTTATACTCGGAACGATTGGCCTGGATTTCTTCGGAGGCGCCTCGTCCGTCATGCCGACAGAAACACTCGTGTGCTCAGTTTCCTCGTCCTCTTGAATAGCCTCTATGAGCACTACCTGGACAAGGGTAAAGCGACGTGGAACGACATCTCCTCTGCAATCAACCGTCTGAGGAAGGGACTAGCTGTTGACTCGGGATGGGGTCTCTCGGACCGAATACAATCTCTCAAGAGGGCAGAAACTCTACAGGTCATGTGCTCTTATATGGAGACCATCGATCACTTGACCGACGACTTCGCCAGCCAATTGGTCGCTCCGACATCGCCCCGTCAGATGGTGCTGCTGGTTGCGAATCATTACGAGCCTTGCATATGGCCAGGGGATTGCCCGAGGTGGCCCACACCTGAATCCCCGATCGTATTGTCTACCGCAGAGCGAGCGCGTTTTCGGGAAGGCTTTCTGGCGCATCAAGTTCTTTGCCTGCTTTCCAAGAAAAACTTTCACCCACGTCCATCTCCGTCTTTTCCACATTGGTGGCACCCGTTCACGGGCCGGTTATCGCCACTTGAGATAGAGCGAATTCATTCCATCCATGACTATTTGTTCAAGAAATGGCTCTGGATACTGACGGATGGCTTCGAGCGCACAAACCGGTGCAAGACTCGGGACTCGCTCTTGAAACTTTTTCACCAAGAAAGTTTCTTTTGGCATCAGACGCACCACGAGTTGGCGGATGAATTTGTATCCGGGGGAATCGCAATTTCCGGGCGGGAACTGGACCCCACTCGGCCATCATGGACTGAGTTCGACTACGACGACGGCGAGCCTAGCTGGAACAACTTCCGCGAGAAATGTCAGCCTGATTTCGACGTGTCGACACCACCTCGACCAAAGCATAAACGATATGGTAATTCAGTCTACATTTCCACAGCGCTCCATGTTTTGTGGCGGTGGGATCAGCCCAGACTCAGTCCCGGGGAGCAAGAACGTCAAGATAGGCAGATCACTCCGCTTTGGCTACTGTTCAAGGAGGAGGTTATCACAAAGCAAATCAGTGGATCGATCCATATAAGCAGCATAGTAGATCAGATATTCAGGGAGATCAAGCCCGACGATCCCAGCCTATCACATGATGGATATTTCAATTGTCGAGCCCGGGGATGGGTATTTCTGGATCCTGATACTTTTGAGACAGTCCAGGCATACTGGAAATAAGTGGATCAGGTATGAAGAAGGACGGTCGGCGTCGGATTTGTTCAGGTTGTCCGGTGGTAAAAATGACTGGGATTTGTCGTACTTGAGAGACTTTACAGAGAGTCTGGATGGACTTTTTTGATAGCCACGCCATGACCGTGTTGGATGTTACGCAGGTAACCCATCTTCTCATTTTGTGTAATAATACCTGGATAGTCTTTATGAAGCATCAAGTATTTCAGTATTGCTTATCGCAATACATTGCGATTCTTGATAGTCGTAAACCCCTTGGCATACTTGTATGATGTAGCCTGAATGCTGAATCATGCCACGGGAATGGTCATCAGGCATAGTACGTGTAGTGATCATGATACGGAAGCATCGACAAACGGATGCGCTGACTGGCTGGAAAAGACCCCTTGATTATTAGATGGAATAGATGCTTTGAATCGACTGGAATGGATGCATGGACTAGCTGAAATCCACACCATGACTAAACCAGAATGCTCCTAGACTAGCTGGAATAAATGTGTCGACCGGATAGAATGGATGCCTTTACAGGCTACAGAGAATGCATTAACTAGACTGGAATAAAGGCCTTAACAAGTAAAAAGAAATACCTTAACTAGCTGGAATATATGCCTTGAAAAGACTATAATAGAGGCCTTGGACAGCTGGAAAAATGCCGTGACTAGACTAGAATAAAGGCCTTACTTAATTCAACTAGTTTGAATAAATGCGTTGAGAAAGTGGAATTGGACTGGTACCTTTATACGAGAGTAATGGTGCCTGAATATACGGCGCCTTCAAATATAGCGAGTAGGCACAGAGGGAAGACCTTGTGCCACGAGGACAGCAGCATGGAGAAGATGGTGGAAGATTAATAAAAAGAAGAAAAAGGAATCCAATCACGAACTGTCGTATCCTAGCCACACACCCTTTGAACAATTTACATTAACCCAAGACTAACACCACCCAAATGTATTCTGATTGAAATGTTCCAACCCCGCCAACAGCTCGAGACTTAACCAGCAGTCCGCTTCTTGCCACCCATAGCAGCCTGAACCGTTCCGCCAACGATGCCATCGGTGGTGAAGCGCTTGCCAATGATGCCGTCTTCAGCCAGGGGTCCACCAATGGCCTGGGCGGTTCCGCCTATGGCTCCCTCGGCTATCAACCGCCAATGCAATCAGCAAGATGACGAACGAGGTGGGGTGGCTGGCTGGATGCTTGGAGATGTGAAAGGCTCACTGGTAAACTGCTTCCCGATGGTCCCCTTCGAGTCAAACACCTTGGGAACGTCAATGCCCAGATGGGCCGTCGCGCCGGTTCTCCGCTCCGAGGCCATGCCGCCTGTGGATCTGGGGCCGACACTGGTCCGGGTGGCATTTTGGTTTCGGGAGGGTTTATTGTCCATTGTTGTCAAAGACCAGCTGGCGAAGAGATATCTTGTATTACGATAAATAAGTTCGGTTCAATGAATTATGGTAGTTTCGAGAGCCGTTTGAAAGAAAAAAAGAAGAGAAATACAATAAAGGCCTCTTTCCAATCCGTTGTGATGTTGTAGGGTATCTATCCAGCCATAACGAGTTTAGAGTTAGTGCTAAGAATGGTAACGTGAAGGGGCGGTGACGGAATGTGGTGATCATGGGTGATGTCATGACCAGTACTGGGGCAGTCCGGGTCCAGGGTCGCTCATTGAGCCCCTTTTATCCGTATCGAGCCCCTGAATGAGGTGACCAATTGGACGGCTATTCGATGTTGATGTCGATGACTGAAGTTCGGAAAAGCAACAAGGCAAGTCCCCCAAAGTCAACATCTGTGCTCCCATGTCCTCAACGTCGCTCCTACAGCATGAGAGTGGTGATGTGCAAAACGACATCCCCCGACCCAGCAATGTTCCTGATAGAACCACCGACTCCCGGTCGAATCTTGATCATACCGTGAGTGCCGATGAGGAACGCAGGTTCATTGCTCAACTTGACGCGGACCTTGCCCTCTGCGACCGAGATCAAGCCGATCGTGTCCGCCGACACTTCCAGCAGCTGGGTCTGTCCCGGGGAGAGGGTCTGGACGCGAAAGTAGAGATCTTCGCACGCCTTTACTCCATTTCCAGTGCAGAGAGCGGGCTTGGAGAAGGCGATTTCTATTTCGGGGGTTGTGGTTAGGTTAGGAACCCAAAAGACGAACAAGATCACATTGTACTTACTCTCTTGCTTGGTACCCACTGTTTCCCTGATGCAGCCGGGAGCAATCTCCCAATCTTCCATCTCCAGGATCTCGCCTGGGGGTGTCTGGAAGCTTCCAGCCGCGAGAATCGAGCTCATCTCCAGCGAGGCCAGAGGTCGTGGTTTACCGGTAAACGCGTCTAGTGTCTCAACTCTTCGAGGCGGACGGTTCGAAAATGAGAGTCGCCAGTCGCGTGCTGCCAGTATGGCCTCGAGTTGCGGGGAACGGGCCACTAGTCCCGCGTCGTATAATTCCAGCACAAGCTCACTATCTGTATCCATGGCGCGCGAGAGCTTTAGTGGGAAGCTGGGGGCCTTGGGGGTCGTTGTGGTATGAAGTCTGTTCTTACCAGTGTGTGATTTCAGATGACCACTGAACGAAAGTCAACCGACGGTGGTTAATCGGTGCGTGTGGCGGGGCAAATGGGAATGAACCAAAATTAGAGTTTATGTGGCGTTATGGTGCCAGATGCCAGATGCCAGTCCCAACCGACTGCTCAAGGTTTCTGTTGACGAGTTGAGAATACGAACAGGCGTGTCGTCAAAGGAGCCCCACTTATCTCAGGGTTAGGGTTATGCACAACGTGGCGGATGACTAAGGTCAGGGGTAGATCCGTGTGAACTACTGTAATATTATTTCTTGAGATACAAACAATAAAAAAGAAAAGACAAGAAAAGTGACATACAGACCAGCAAAAGAATATTAAACGATCCGACTGGGACTCGAACCCAGAGTCTTTACCAGAAGGGAATAGGATGCGTTCTAAACCGGAAAGTAACGCGTTACCATTACGCTATCGGACCCGCTTGACATGACTTGTTGTCTGATTTGATGATTTTAGCTTCTGGTATCGGGCTTCTTATCACTCGCTGACTGGTACTGGCGGATGCTGGCTGTGATTGTGGCTTTCTAGTGCATCTGTCCGCATCTGACATCGCGTTTTGGACTAGAGCACTTGACAGTTAGAAAATTGATGCTGTGATTATGAGAGTCAAAAGACCATATCATCTTGTAAATCACTCCGCCGTTCACATATTGTGGTTGAAGAAAAAACGCACAGTCAATTGAGATGTAGAGGGTTTGTGATGGCTTGGATGAGGCTCCATGGCGTCGAGGTTATTCACAGTCACATGTCAGCAGTGAGGGACTGATGGGAAGATGTGTTTTTTTGTTCGTCGACTAATCCAACACACCAACTTGAGTTACTTGACCTACCTTTTCAAAACTTGCCAAGGGAGGTAGAGGGCAGCGTAGCCATACCTAGCCCCTATATCTCAACCACGATAGGTTCGTTCTGCAAGTGGTTATCCATGCCAGCCACGATCGAGGCGTTGACAAACGTAGTAACGCGGCCTCTGTCCCTCTTCTTTCCAAAAGAGATATGTCCCCTCAGCCTCTCCCAAATTCCAAAGAACAGCATCAGAACAATAGTCCGGATCCCGCCCCATCCAATCATGACATCGTCATGCGCCTGTCGCACCCTGTCCAGGACGACATCCTCCTGGACGCCGTATGCATTGTGGATGTGCCCAAACACGTGAAGTCTAGGCCGGAGCTTGTATATAGCGTCCAAAAGATACGGGCATCCTGCTCGATGAAAGTCGCGTTTGTCGAGATAGAGATTTGGTGGGCCGTGAGTGATGAGAATCACCGTCTCTTCCTCGTCGTCTTCATCGTTACTGTTGTAAGTTCTTGACGGTGAAGCTTTGAAGGCCTTGCCCATGCTCCCCACCTTGGACGACCAATTTCTTTCGCCCTCCTCGTCAGTGTACTGAAAGGCCGAGACGCCGTACTTTGGGGTGCGCGGGCTGCCGAAAATTGTGATCTTGCGCGTTGACGTTTGATTCAGGGGTGATGCCGAACACGGTCGATCATCCTCATTGCGAAGAACTGGGATCTCGATAGTCGTCCAGGCGTCTTGAAGGTATTCTACAGTGCCCCAATCAAGATCATGCCTGGTCTTGGTCTGGCCGTAGCGACGCGTGGGGTACTTTTCAAGGAAAGCATCGTCGAGCAGGACGTCATGGTTGCCGGCAATGAGAAATTTGTGTCTATGCGGCTGGGAGGACAGCCACGAGATGCCGGCTTGGACCTCGTCAAAAGACCCGTTTTCGGTCAGGTCGCCCGAGTGGATGAGGATATCACCTGGTGGGATCACGGGTTGGGTGTTGTGCGTGTCTGAGATGCAGACTATCTTGATCGGATTTTTGGCCTCCTTCGGCTGCTTTCTTGACGATGAGCTTTTCAGGTAGTTCTCGTGTAAGTCAAGGAGAGCCGCGGTCAGGCGCCTTCTGCGGCGACCACGCGTCTTGATGCTGGTAAGAGGCTGTGACTGCATTGTTGGTTCTCTATTGTCGTCGACTCAATATGGGCTGCAAACAACAATTGGAAAGAAGCAAAGGACAATCAAAACTTGCAAACGCAGCTATTGCGCGGGGTATGTCTTCTTTTGATTGTTCAAAGTTGAGTCTGAAGTTGTTGGAATGACGCAGCAGTGTTTGCTAGCGTGTATTTGGTAATTTCCCAGGCGGGTCGTGCTTCACCACCCAGCTGGCACCCTCTCAGCCAATCAGAGGCCGGCAATCCCCCCTGAGGCGGTATAAGTTGGAAGGAAGGAACAACTTCCTCCACAGAATTCGTCTCAAGACGGAAGATAAGGCTCCCCATAGTCTGAAATTTGCTCCCATGACTGCAAAAAATGGGACCACGGGGCAGCCTGTCGATAACAATTGTCATATCCCCATGGCAAAGCTCGATAACAATGGGAGGAAAGGCACCATGTCAGTCCTCGAGACTGGCTTGCCGCAGGGCGGGATGGTCGTATGTTGTCCACAGCAAGGTGTCGACCTCAAATTTCAGATTCCGAGGGACACAGTTGATTTCGAGATCTGGTACGTTCTCATTGTTTAGAATCATTGGCCTGTGGATGATTAACCTTGACCATCAGAGACTACCCTGAAGCAGTGTCTACTCCCCAAGAACATGAACGACCTCTACAACCGTATCAAGAGCCATCACCGCGCTCGAAGCAGAAGTCCAGCCTCCGGTCTAGTCATTGGATCTCCACAGGACATCAAGATTGCGATCCCACGGAACAGGAACGACGATAACGGGCGACCAATCCAGCCGGTGACTCGAGATGTCGATTCGGAGACCATGCGCCGTGGGCTCGATCACGTCTCGACCTTCCTCGCCAAGCATGGTCGGAGAATCGAGGTGGTCGCTGTAGGCGGAGCAGTCAATACTCTTTTCCTGCACACGCGAGAGAAAACTCACGACATTGACATCTTCTCCTCCGAGCTCGACAAGCCCTCCCGGATTCTACTCGACGAAGCTGCTCACGATGCGCAGAAAAGGATTCCAGCCCTTGGCACCGACTGGCTCAACACCGAGACGGAGATGTGGATGACGGGACCGGCAGAGAATGATCTCACCCATGCGGCGGCCGAGCAAAACGTCCGCCTCTATGAGGGCCAAGGATTGATCGTCTATCTGGCGCCGTGGGACTACGCCTTCACAGGCAAAGTCCATAGAATCCAAACCGGTGGCGGGAACGTCCGCGACTACGATCTTGCCGATGCTGCTCACTACATGCACCAATACATCCTTGCTCATTCCAACCGCCCTGTGAAAGCTGGGATGATTCAAGAGTGGGCCAAGAAGTGGCGAGGGTATGAGGTCAAGGCGAGCATACTTGCTCGCATACAGATTGAGTACAAGCGTCACTACGGAGGACACAAGGCTATGGATTTGTGATGAGTAAGTTCACTTGATGTGAGATCAAGGTCAAAGGTTGTGGTTGGACCGTTATTATATAGCACGTTGCTAACAACATAGGCGCCTAGTATTCAGGCACCACCACTCTCGTATACAGGCACCAGTCCAATTTCACTTTCTCAGGGCATTTATTCCAACTACCTGGTAGTCAAGGCATTTATTCTAGCCAGCCAAGGCCTCTATTACAACAAGAGTAGTGCCTGTATATTGGGCGCCACAACATCTAAGTCAAGGACCAACAAAGGTGCTTAGGGCCACCATGTCTGTGCATGTATTGGAGGGACCAGGCACTACTCATTGCATGATGGTTGTCTTGGTTAGATCAATCGCTATTTGTTAGCCATGGCTATTGGTCTTGGGTCATTGTTGTCACCAGTCACAGAACCGTCTTGCAAGAAGTAATCGATCACTGCTTACAGCCATTACATAACATTGCAAGATGCTGTCGCCGTGTCCTTGGCCAATTGAAGTCACATCGTAGGAGCTTGATGGACTCTTGTCGTATGACGCCAAGTTGTGAGTTCACCGTGGATCCGTATATGCAATATACACAAAAGGACGTCTCTCTGCCAAGCCTCACCTTTAATATAAAGCTTCATCTATTCAACTACCACCTACCCCGGACGCTCCCGCCTCGCAACCCGCACCAAGAGGCTCGCTTCCATCGTTGCGGGCTTTTGGCTAAATATGGCTCTACCAAGAAGCCCCATTTTCTTCCGCCATGTTCGAACCGACGACCGGTTTCGCGGGTCTCAAGTCCCGATTTTCGTTGCCGGCTCAACACCCTCAGCGGCCTTTTTTATACAACAAAGTCCCCTAACCTTTTGTCTGGGAGCATTTGGGCTACCGAAGGATGGGCGGGCGGTTCGGTCCTCGTCGGTTGCTCACTCCACCACGGAAGTCCGGAACTCTAGTGTGTGTAGCCGAACCAGTACCCAGGGACGACCAGCCTAACAGGGAGAAAAAAGTCGCCCAGGATCGCGATACCCGAGTGAGAAAACTTCCGATTCCGCTCGCTCGCTTAGACTGACTGACAGCTTCTCAAGATCCCACTTATACTCGGGTCGTCCAGACCCACAATAAGAACAGCAAGACTGGAGATGATCGTGATAAGAGTTTCTCAGGTCGTACCAGATACGGCTTAATTTACCAAGACTCCCACGTCAATATAGACAAGAACGGCCTCGAGTCGCGCTCCAATGAGGCGTCATGATATGGTCAGGATATCCACCGTGTATGGGTACCCAGGTCGTATATGATGCAGCCAACAATAACGCATGACCTGGTAACAGGGAGATTAGTTACTAGACGAGGCTTCTATTCCTGGAATCATTTGTGTAAATTGTAGAGTAAGTGGGCCGGTGGCTTGCTATCTTGTTGCTTGTCGGGACCGCTCCGACATCGTATGTAGGGGATTTTTGGTACAGGATGTTGAAAGAGACAAGGGGCCAGCCGGGTCGATGAAGATCCAGACCCGGTATTCGTTTTCCTGGTTAGAGTCTTGCTCGCGGTCTTGTCTATATAAACAGGTGGCCCCTCCCCGGTTCGTTCCCTTGGTGGTGATCTCTTTTCAACATCTGATTTGCATTATACTCGACAAACTCTTTACATATACGAGTTTGAGTGCACAACGAACGAGAATCTTGACATACAAGCGCACAGTAGCAACGATGGTGTCTTCGACCTTGGCCCTCTTGGCCTCCCTCCTCTCGGCGCCCCTGAGCGTAAATGCCATCTCAGGCAAGTCCTACACAGCATGGGACTGGTAAGTCTTGTCAACCTTTCTCACTCATCGGGTCATCATCTACAAGACATTCTTTACTAACAATCCACAGCTGCAAACCAGCATGCGGCGATAGCGGCGTCGCCGGCGCCTACAACCGCCTTACCATGATGTGAGTTTCATCCAACCCAACATCCATCAAGTGAAAAAAGCAACTGAACAACAAAACCCACAGCGGCGCCCCCAAAGTCTGCAACATCAACAACGACCCCCTCGGCCTATCAGCCGGCCTAACCGCAGCCC